GCACATATCTAAACATGCTGCATATATCTTTATGCACACAAATGAACACATACTTTTGCACATCCAACAGTGTAACATTTGTTTAAGTTTATAGGCACAGATCTTTTTTTGTTGATAACATTATCGTAGATTTATAGCATCCAGTTCACCTGTATACAACTCTACCCTGCCTGACAGGTGGTATTTGGTGGGAAAGGGGGCAGCTGAGTGATAAAAATCCTCACCCTCACACACAGGTGTTTGACAATGACATCTCCTACATTGAGGGGGGAACAGCCAGTGGCTTCTACACTGTGGAGGACACGCACTACGTCACCAGGTGAGGGTGTGTGCAGGGTAGGTGGTAGTAACCTGGACTCTGCTGGCAAGGGCAGGGCTGGGGGGAGGGTGTTAGTGTGGGCACCAAGGGCCCCACTTAGCCCTGAGCCACTCTTGCCCTGGTCCCCAGGATGTACCGCGTGTATGGGAAAAAGAACATCAAGTTGGAGCCTGTGCCCCTCAAGGGCGCTTCCTTGGACCCAAGGTGAGCCTCCAAGATGTGAGGTGGGAGTGCTTGACCCCCATCCTCCTCTCCACCAGTGGGGGCAGGTTTAGGCCTCCTGGAAGGGTTCATTGTCCCATTCCCCGTCACAACAGCCTCCTGCCCCTTCCCGGCCAGGTTTGTTTTCTTGCTGGACCGAGGGCTGGACATTTACGTGTGGCGGGGGGCCCAGGCCACGCTGAGCAGCACCACCAAGGCCAGGTACGAGGAGAGCGTGGGTGTTTTGGAAGGGGAAGGGGTGGGGGCCTTGCTGAGGGCTTTGCATCCGCCCTCAGGCTCTTTGCAGAGAAAATTAACAAGAACGAGCGGAAAGGGAAGGCTGAGATCACGCTGCTGGTGCAAGGCCAGGAGCCCCCAGAGTTCTGGGAGGTTCTGGGTGGGGAGCCCTCCGAGATCAAGAAGCACGTGCCCGATGACTTCTGGCCACCCCAGCCCAAGCTGTACAAGGTGAGCGGTGATGCTGGGGTGCAGGGTTGGCCTGAGTTCACCAGCTGGTTGAGGGGACAGGCCATGCACCTCTGTTGTGGCTGTGGGCTCCATCTGGACTTCGGTGGGGAGAGGGTGCCACCTTCTGGACAAGGAACAGCCTGAGCAAAGGTCTGGAGACTGGCTTTGCGAAATAGCATGAGGATGTGTGTTTCCAGGAAGGTGGAGCTGGAGGGGGAGACAGAAACGCCTGGGTGCCAGGGCTGGGAACCTGGCCTTAATTCTGTGGGTGACAGGAAGCCATGGGGGTTTTGTGAGCAGGAAAGGGACAAGTTAGAGAATTAGAAATGGCACAGGGAAAGCACTGTTTAAGAGCCCTTCCACTGATAGGATATCCTTAAAACGACCTTGGGGAAGAGGAGGGAAAAAGGTCCAGACAGGAGCTAGCAGTGAGCCACATTGCAGGGCGGGGCCAGACTCCAAGCAGGGGCTGTGTGGGTGAGGCTCCTGTCCCCAGACCCCATCCCTGCCATGCCCTGCTCGTTCTCCTGCCAGGTGGGCCTGGGCCTGGGCTACCTGGAGCTGCCACAGATCAACTACAAGCTCTCTGTGGAACATAAGAAACGGCCCAAGGTGGAGCTGATGCCAGGGATGCGGCTGGTGAGACGCACAGGAGGGATGGGGGGACCGGGATCCTTTACCCTCATGGCCAGGTTTTGACCTCCTGCCTCCGGTCCTGCAGCTGCAGAGCCTGCTGGACACACGCTGTGTGTACATCCTGGACTGTTGGTCCGACGTGTTCATCTGGCTTGGCCGCAAGTCCCCACGCCTGGTGCGCGCCGCCGCCCTCAAGCTGGGCCAGGAGCTGTGCGCGATGCTGCACCGGCCGCGCCACGCCGCAGTCAGCCGCAGCCTTGAGGGCACCGAGGCACAGGTGTGTTCGCCGCTCCCCACGATCCTGCGGACTTATCCTGCCCCAACCCCTCTTTGGTTCCATAACTGCCCTTCAAAGCTGGGCCCAAACCTACCTACCCTTCGCTAGACCTCTGCCCGGGCCCCGCCCCCTCCACCACCTGTCCCTCCTCCTTTCCAAGGCCCCATCTCCTAGGCCCCGCCCCCGGGTCGCTCCTGCACCCCGCCTCCCGAGCCTCCACCAATTTCCTCTGACTCTAACCTTAACCATGCCGGACCCCTCAGTTCATGACCTTCCTACCTCCACTGGCAGGTGTTCAAGGCCAAGTTCAAGAACTGGGATGACGTGCTGACAGTGGACTACACGCGTAACGCGGAGGCCGTGCTGCAAGGCCCTGGTCTTTCCGGGAAGGTGAAGCGCGACGCGGAGAAGAAAGACCAGATGAAAGCTGACCTGACTGCGCTGTTCCTGCCACGGCAGCCGCCGATGGCGCTGGCTGAGGTGGGGGCGAGGCCCGGGCGGCGGGGGCGGGGGCTGCGTGCGGGGCGGGGCCCGGGCGGCGGGGGCGGGGCCTGCGCGCGGCGCGCTGCTCAGACCTGCGGCGGGGCGGGGCCTGTCGCCTGCAGGCGGAGCAGCTGATGGAGGAGTGGAATGAGGACCTGGACGGCATGGAAGGCTTCGTGCTCGAGGGCAAGAAGTTCGCGCGGCTGCCGGAGGAGGAGTTCGGCCACTTCTACACGCAGGACTGCTACGTCTTCCTCTGCAGGTGCCGCCCCAGCACGCCTCCCTGTCCCGAGCCCGCCCCTGGGCCTGGGGGCTCAGTCCCCTGCTCACTGCCCCCCAACCCGGCAGGTACTGGGTACCCGTAGAGTACGAGGAGGAGGAGAAAAAGGACGAGGAGGAGGAGAAGACCGAGGGCAAAGGTGAGGCGGCGGCTGCTGAGGTGGAGGAGAAACAGCCCGAGGAGGACTTCCAGTGCATCGTGTACTTCTGGCAGGGCCGCGAGGCCTCCAACATGGGCTGGCTCACCTTTACCTTCAGCCTGCAGAAGAAGTTCGAAAGTCTCTTTCCCGGCAAGCTGGAGGTGCTCCTGCCACGCCCTGAGAGCCAGTGGAGGGGTGTGGTGGGACACAGACCCAGGCAAGGTTTGGGGTCCAGGGAGCTGCCCTTGACATTTCCACACCCCTAGGTGGTACGAATGACACAGCAGCAGGAGAACCCCAAGTTCCTGTCTCATTTCAAGAGAAAGTTCATCATCCACCGGGGCAAGAGGAAGGTGGCCCAGGGCGCCCTGCAACCGAGCCTGTACCAGATTCGTACCAACGGCAGCGCCCTCTGTACCCGGTGCCTGGCTCAGGGGAGGGCATAGCAGCAGGCAGGGGTTGGGGACCCAGCCCTGACTGCCTGCTGACACCCCCACCCTTCCCAGATGCATCCAGATCAACACTGACTCCAGCTTCCTCAACTCTGAGTTCTGCTTCATTCTCAAGGTAGGGTTGTGGGTGTGAGCCAGGACAGTGGCTCCAGGGGTGGGTCGGGGCCTGGACCTGCCCAAACCCCTGCATGCTCTCCAGGTTCCCTTCGAGAGTGAGGACAACCAAGGCATCGTGTATGCCTGGGTGGGCCGAGCATCAGACCCTGACGAGGCCAAGCTGGCAGAAGACATCCTGAATACCATGTTTGACGCCTCCTACAGTAAGCAGGTAACGAGATGGGCAGGTGGGCAAGTGAGCAGGGAGCTGAGCTGGGGCAGGCAGGGGCCCTGGGCTGGACTGGCCCTTTCCCACAGGTCATCAACGAAGGTGAGGAGCCTGAGAACTTCTTCTGGGTGGGCATCGGGGCACAGAAGCCCTATGATGATGACGCTGAATATATGAAGCACACGCGGCTCTTCCGGTGAGGCCATGGCCCTGACCCTCCCTCGGATCCCTTAGTCCTGGCACTGCTGCTTATGACCTTTGGCCTCACCTTGACCCTCAGGTGTTCCAACGAAAAGGGCTACTTCGCAGTGACTGAGAAATGCTCTGACTTTTGCCAAGATGACCTGGCAGACGATGACATCATGTTGCTGGACAATGGCCAGGAGGTAAGGCCCCCTGCCAGTGGGCCCCACCCACACAAGGAGGAGCCTACCCACTTGTAAATGGAGCTCTGTGGCAGGAAGAGGAGTATTCCTAAGGCACCCCTGTGACCACCTCCCCTGCTGTCCCCACAGGTCTACATGTGGGTGGGAACCCAGACAAGCCAGGTGGAGATCAAACTCAGTCTGAAGGCCTGCCAGGTGAGCTGCGTGGAGGGAAGGCTGAGGCTGGGTCCGCAGGCCTGGGAGGAACGTTCAAAGCTTACTGTCCTCCTCACCAGGTGTACATTCAGCACATGCGATCCAAAGAGCACGAGCGGCCACGTCGCCTGCGCCTGGTCCGCAAGGGCAATGAGCAGCACGCCTTCACTCGCTGCTTCCATGCCTGGAGCACCTTCCGCAAGGCCCTGGCCTAGGGCAGTGCCCCCATTGCAGCCCCCAGCCTGGGTGAGGAAGGGGCCCTCTGTCCACACCTGCTAG